GTTGCAAGTAATGGTGGCCAATAGGGACAAAATTGATTGCGATGGACGATGTCTTGGGCTTACACTCCTCATCCAAAACTTTCCGGTTCAAGCAGATTTTTATGTTTTACCCGCAGCAGCATGTCAAGTGGTCTTGGGAGTTCAATGGTTGGCCACCCTTGGGCCAATCGAAACTGACTACAGCAAGCTCACCATGTCTTTCCAGCAATGAGGTAAACCTTATAGGTTTCAAGGCCTTAAACAGTCTACACCCACCGTTCTAAGTGATAAGGAACTCCTCAACCTCGAGGGAATAGCCTTGTTCTTTCAAATCACTCTAAGCCCCGAACTAGTTGCAGTCAATGACCACCCCGCCGACCTCGACCAAATCCTCACTGAATTTGAGCATGTCTTTGCTGTACCCAACACCTTGCCACCGGCCCGAACCCATGATCACCACATTCCATTACAACCAAATCAAGAACCTGTGAGCGTTCGACCTTATCGGTACCCTCATTATCAAAAAACAGAAATTGAGAAAATGGTGAAGGAGTTTCTCGACTCAGGTTTGATCCGCCCTAGTACCAGCCCATTTTCCTCACCGGTATTGCTCGTCAAAAAAGCGGATGGAAGTTGGCGGTTTTGTGTTGATTACCAAGCTCTCAACAACATTACAATCAAAGACAAATACCCGAGCCCTGTCATAGACGAACTCCTCGATGAATTATATGGATCTCGGTATTTTTCAAAGCTCGACCTCCGTGCTGGATATCATCAAATACGGGTCCAGGAGGCTGATATTCATAAAACTGTTTTTCGGACACATGATGGACATTATGAATTCATTGTGATGCCCTTCGGACTTACGAACGCCGCCTCCACCTTCCAGAGGTTAATGAATGACTTACTGCGACCTTACTTGAGGAAGTTTGTTCTTGTTTTTTTTGATGACATTCTAGTGTACAACAAAAATTGGGATGACCACCTCGGCCACCTACGAGCAGTTCTTCAAGTTTTATCTAGCAATCAATTGTTTGCCAAGAAATCTAAATGTTGTTTTGGTGTATTACAGGTGGCATACCTGGGCCATCTTATTTCTCTCGCCGGCGTGGCCGTCAACCCAGAAAAGATCAAATCAGTTCGTGAGTGGCCTATTCCCACTTCGGCAAGAGGAATTCGTGGCTTCCTAGGCTTAGCCGGATATTACCGGAAGTTTATCAGCGGTTTTGGGGGAATTGTTGCCCCTCTAACTCGATTGTTATCAAAAGAAAGGTTCCAATGGACTTCTGAGGCCGCTGCTTCCTTCTCCCAATTAAAGGAAGCACTCACATCTCCACCAATCCTCCGCTTACCCGACTTCTCTCAAACCTTCGTGATTGAATGCGATGCTTGTGGGGTGGGCATTGGAGCTATTTTAACACAACAGGGCCAGCCAGTCTTATATTTTAGTGAAGCTCTTAAACCCTCGGCCTTAGCGTTATCCACATATGAGAAGGAGATGCTTGCAATAGTCAAGGCCATTCGCAAATAGCGACCTTATCTCATCGGCAAACCTTTCATTGTTCGCACCGATCAGAGAAGTTTAAAATATTTGCTGGAACAACGTATCACAACGCCGGCCCAAACACGGTGGTTACCAAAGATTCTTGGGTATGATTATATTATTGAGTACAAGAAAGGAAAAGATAATTTCGGTGCTGATGCCCTTTCACGAGTTGGAGAGCTCGAATTCCTTGCTATGTCTTTGCCCATCGCCGAATGGTGGACTACACTCCAACAAGAGGTAGCGACCGATCCATTCTATGGTCAATTGCTGGCCTCACTACCCTCACATCTCCAGCCACAATTCTCCTTACGTGATGGGGTGCTTTTCAAAAAGGGGTGCATCTATCTGAGTCCTTCTTCGCAGCTACTCCCTGCCATTCTTTCCGCACATCACTCTTCGCCAGTTGGTGGACACTTTGGCTATCATAAAACATTGAGCCGCATCAGCAATAGCTTTGTTTGGCCTCATATGCGTACCACGATCAAGGACTTCATCAAATATTGTGATGTGTGCCAACGTTGCAAAACTGATTGTTCGCGTCCTGCTGGTCTACTACAGCCGCAACCCATACCCGACAAAGTATGGACTGATGTTTCCATGGATTTTGTGGAAGGGTTGCCACTGTCTCAAGGCAAAAATGTCATCATGGTGGTGGTCGATCGCTTGACTAAGTATGCACATTTCATTCCACTCAAGCACCCATTTACTGCACTCACTGTGGCCAAAGTATTTCTCGAACAAATTGTTCGACATCACGGCATACCCAAATCCATTGTAAGTGATCGTGATAAAATTTTTATCAGCTCATTTTGGAAAACTTTATTCCAGCTGCAAGGTACAACTTTTTGTATGAGCTCTAGCTATCACCCCCAAACCGACGGGCAAACAGAAGTGGTTAACCGCACACTGGAGCAATATCTCAGGTGCTTCACGCATGAGCAGCCAAAGAAATGGTCTGAATGGGTTGCGTGGGCCGAATACAGTTATAACACTTCCGTCCACTCATCCACCAGAATTTCCCCTTTTGAAGCTGTGTATGGGCAGCCTCCCCCAACTCTTCTTCCTTACATCCTTGGCACAACCAAAGTTCAAGCCGTGGACAACCTCTTGCGTAGCCGGGACGAGATTCTTCGTGATTTACATCGGAATTTGGCCATTGCACGTGACCGCATGAAGACACATGCAGACCAACATCGCCGGGAAGTTGTTTTTGAGATTGGTGATTATGTATACCTTAAACTTCAGCCGTACCGACAGAAAACAGTAGCTTTCCACAACTCCATGAAGCTTTCGCCTCGATTCTTTGGTCCTTATCCAATCCTTGCCAAAGTTGGCCCTGTGGCTTACAAACTCAAGCTACCAACAGATTCCCAAATCCATGACGTCTTTCATGTGAGTCTCTTGAAGAAACACATCGGCCCAGTTGCGAATGCCTCCAACCGATTGCCACCTGTGTCTGACGCATCTGAGGCCCTTCCCCAACCTGAAGCAATGCTGGACACCCGTGTCATCCGCAAAGAACGTTGCCGACTGAAAACTAAGATTTTGATTAAATGGTCGGGTGCACCCATTGAGGACGCTACCTGGGAGAACCGTTGGCGTTTTTCAAAGACCTACCCTAACTTTATCCTTGCGAACAAGGATATTGTAAGGAGGGGGGAGTGATATGTACGTGGGGTAATGATGGAAGTGGTCATGCATAGATGGAATATATTGCCTTAGAAATAGGCTTAGTAATAGTTTGTTTTCCTTCCTGTCAGCACATGTTTCATTAGTGGTAACATGTTTCATTATGGTAGTTTGTTTTCATTATTTTCGGCACATGGTCGTAAACCACTTCTTCCATGATCTACCACGTCTTTTTTGCATTTATCTTTTGTATAATGTTTTCTGACTTGGCTTATAAATAGCCTAAGAACTATTGAATAAAGAAGGTAAGTTTAATTCCCAGCTTTGTTCCTCTCTCAAGCCTCTGTTCTTCTTCTTGCTCTCTTTCTCTAACTGTTTTCTCACAAATTCCTTATCAAAATTTGTAGCGAAAAGATTAATAGTGAAGAGATTAAGTAAAATTTTATTTGTTTTGATGATAATTGTTATGTATGGATTGTTAAATTATTTTTATATTAAATAATAAAACAAATAAAAAATGCAAAAACATTAAACATTAATGTTTCAAAAAAAATGCCCAACATGTAAAAAATATAAAATAAAACAAATAAAAATATGATTTTTACTTAACAAAAAATACAAAAAAATAAATATTAATGTTCAAAAAAAATATCCAACATGTAAAAAATAAAAATAAAAATAAAAATAGTCCGGCGAACTATTTTTTAATACCAAGTCTCAAGCCTCCATCATAATCTCCGTCCCAAGGCCTATCCTAATATAGAGGGAATTATGAATCTCCTCTCCATCTCCCAAAACAAATACAGCATTAGTGAATCCCGCCAATCTTAATTCCCCGTCTCCTAAAATAAACAGGTCTTATGAACCAATAAAATGTTAGGGGATAGAGGAGGCACAGAAAGAAATATTGATTTTTAATTTTTCTATTACACTTTCTAACGTAAGAGAGGTTTATCTTTAGTAAAAATAGTGAAAATACTAGCAAATAAAGACACATTTAGTGACCTCATCCTGTTAATATTTTTGTAATTTGATTCTATACATATAAACTTACTATTTTATTATTTAGTAAAGGCAATTGAATTTCAGATAATTTATTAATAGATAGAGGCCAACAACCTTTCCCTCTAATACACTAATAAAGTCTGGTGAATGAATGTACCTGATTATATTTTTATACTCAATGTGCCAAATAAAATTCTTTTGCCTCAAGATCTATTATTTATTTCCATTTTCTTTAGTTTAGTTTATTTATATTTTTTTTTCATAAAATTAACCACAACAATAATACTTGACAATAATACTTGAGACCACTAAAAATAGTACTCTAAAAACACCACTAGTGATGTGACAATAGAGACTCACTGCTTGTGTCTTTTTCTCTCTCTCTTTTTTTTAATGCTTGCCAACTCATTAGTAGTGTTTTAAAATACCGATGTATCATTACCCTTAACCACAAACTGGTTATTTTCTTACCATCTCAACTCACCTATTGTCATTCCACAGAACATACAAATAATAGAACTAAATATTCATATCCAAAAAACAAAAAACAAAAATTATTTTTATAAATAATGTAATCAAATTTAAAAGGTAACACACTAAATAACATTCAAATGGCATGACTACTTTTTAAAAGACTAGTCACACCCCCCTATAAATGAAGTAGAAGCTATAGTTATTTCAAACCCACTTTAAGTGACTTCTTTTTGATCTCCAGCTCTCTTTCACACAAATGTTATGCTGTTGTACATTACCCCAGTAACATGGATTCATAGCTAACTTTTTCACGCAGCGTAAGTAGTTAACCACATTTTGGTCAAAAAATCTATCAACAGAGCATTTGTTTTTATGTCAAGAACGACTATTAACATGTAGTTGGCTCTTTTCACGTATTTCTTTTAAATGAACACGACAAGGCAGTTCAAATAAACTAAAATAAAAAACCAAAAAGAGCATACAAAATTATATGATGATAATATTTTTGTAATTATAAATCATAGTAATAGACTTAACAGATATAAATGATACAGATTACTCAAACACAAGGCCTGCTATAATAGAGAAGAGGTCATGACCGATCCCAGAGAATCTTTGGTTTAATACAATGCCTTCCCATGACTTGGAACCCTCTTTCTTTTGGCCAATCTGTGTTGCTCTTCAAGCACCCCAAGTAATATGAGAGAAACAAAACAGCTTACCTGCCATTCTGAAAAAAAACAAAAAACAAAAAAACATAACACTTACTTCACCATCATCCCAGAAGGTGATGGCGTATCACTCCTCTTTCTTCATCAAACTCAAAGTTGGCTCTAGAGAAAAGGGTGCTGGAGAAGAACGGTTTCAAGTCAGTGATTTCATAATCCTGTGCCTGCAAGGAAAGATACCATCACAAAAATTCAATATTTATAAAAGAAGGCCATCAGAATTGTAAAATTGAGTCCTTAGGTAGACTTTAGACGGTCCCTGGATGGGAGCTCCTTTCTTGCTTTTGAAATGTGATGCTTTTAGATTTTGTAGACAGAAGATTTTCAATTGCTGTATTATAGTTCTTATTCCTATAAATGAGTGATTCACCCTTGGCACAATGTTTTTTCTTTAATAACTTGCATTAATCGAAAAAGTATAATTATCAGAAAAGTAAACAAGTTGAATGCAAATTTATAGTACCTTGCTCTGTAGCTCCTCCACTTTCACATCAATATGAGTTAGATTTGAGGCAGAGCCAGACACAATTTCTTCAAAGTGCAGTGCATCCTTCACAAGCCCTCTAAGGAGATGGAGGATTAATTCATTGAAATCCTTCTTGAAAGTCATATACTTTTTGAAGCTCTGCAAAAAATAATAATAATAATAATTAAAAATAATCAAAATAAAAATTATCCAAAATTTATGTCAATGCATCCTCTCCAAAATTAACTATAGGAGAATTTCCAAGGTTTGGAAAACCTTCAGATTTAATTTCGACCATCACAACTCTGAAGAATCAGGAAAAGAAATCTTTTACCACCAAATAGATTCCGATTAAGGTAGCAAGGTCAATAGAAAAGTTGATGCGGGACTTTCTTTGGGAAGGTAAGGATGAGGGAAAAAAGGATCATTTGGTGAATTGGGAGGTGATGTCGTTATCTAAGGAGAAAGGGAGTTTGGCTATTGGTAACATTGTAGCTAGGAATTTGGCCCTTCTTGGCAAGTGGTTATGGAGATTTCCACTGGAGATTGATTCACTATGGCATTCGGTTATAAGAAGCAAATACGGGATTCAAGACAATGGTAGGGATTCACGAGTGGTTTTAAGGGTAGCTGCCGTGCTCCTTGGAAGTCAATTTCTCAAATTTTCTCGTGTTGGTCTCGACATCTTTCTGTAAGGGTGGGTAATGGGGAAATTGTTCGGTTTTGGGAGGATGTTTGGATGGGTCAATCTTCTTTTGCTGCAGATTTTCCGCATCTTTATCGAGTGGCTCGTTCTCATAATTCTTCAATTGCTTCCATGGCTTGCTCTCTCTTAGCTCCAATTGCTTGGAATTTTGATTTTTCTAGAAATCTTAATGATAGGGAGGTTTCACAGTTGGTTTCTTTATTATCTAGAATTGATCACTTTTCTTTATCTCCTCTTTTGGAGGACAAGAGGATTTGGGCACTTCATTCGTCCGGAATATTTTCTTCTAAGTCTTTTTGATCACATCATTGATAATCCTCAAATCCCTCAATTTCCTTTCTGTAAAAAAGTTTGGAAGGCTTGTGCTCCCTTAAAGGTAAAGGTGTTCATGTGGGCCTTGGTTCATGGGGGAATTTTGACAAATGATACATTGCAGAAAAGGAGACCCAATTGTTTTTTAAATCCTCAGTGGTACATTCTTTGTTGTAAGAGCGAGGAATCCGTGGATCATTTATTCTTGCATTGTCCAATAGCTTTGAATTTATGGCATAGATTGTTTTGTGTTGGAATTCTTCAAAGTGCAGTGCATCCTTCACAAGCCCTCTAAGGAGATGGAGGATTAATTCATTGAAATCCTTCTTGAAAGTCATATACTTTTTGAAGCTCTGCAAAAAATAATAATAATAATAATTAAAAATAATCAAAATAAAAATTATCCAAAATTTATGTCAATGCATCCTCTCCAAAATTAACTATAGGAGAATTTCCAAGGTTTGGAAAACCTGCAGATTTAATTTCGACCATCACAACTCTGAAGAATCAGGAAAAGAAATCTTTTACCACCAAATAGTTAGCAGTTGAACAAAGTATCCAAATTCTTCGAGTAACCTAAGATAACAGTTGCCTCTAAATTTATGTTGGAAGCCAGGTAGAGTGTCTAATTTGGTTGTACTTGAATCTCTTGGCACTAATGTCATGTGAGCAGACTGCAAACAAATTATAGAAATTTTACATTTTTTTAAGAAGAAAAAGCCCTATAGCACAAACCCTCAAAGTGGGATTTAACACGAGTGTAACCACTGAGGAACTCAAAGCTTTGGCAAAATACACAAGACTAATGTTGCCCCAGCACAATGACTGTTTCTTTATAACAGTAATGGATTTAACAGCATCCATTGCTAACAGTATTGACCCCTGCACAAGGATTGTTTTACATTGGGAACAGTATTGTTTCTTAGAATCTACTATACAAAATCAGAGAACAAAATAATTGCAGCAAGTAAGCATCACATGTTAGAAAATGACACTGCTCACAATGAATTAGTTTGGCAAATATGCACAAGAGATGCAACATGGTTTATGAGGAAAAATATTCAAGTGCTAGATCTACTAGTACCTTTTGCAAAGCTTTCTGAACACCAAATTTCTGTGTTGAAATGAATGAATCAAGCAGGACACGAATTGCCATGTCCACATCTACTTGAGTAACATGCTGTCTGAGGTGCATTCTTGCATGTGCTTCAGACATCCGAATCATTGATTCGATGTGCCTCACAGCAATGGGAACTCCTTGTCCATGCTACACATGCATAAAAATCAAGGCATACATCATGAGATGACATGTATGAATCACCAATAGCTTGAACCATTAGGAAGAACAAGAAGGAGAATCTAACCGAAGATTCTCTCCGTAGTTCAGCGTAAACTTGTGTGAGCTTGTTAAGGTCCGCATCATGCAACCTTGGGAATACATTTAACTTGGCAAAAGTTAAGTACTTCTTTAGCAAATCTTGAGGGAGTATCTGAGGAGATAAACATAAATCAAGACATTGAAATTCAAGCATTTTCAAAGGAACAAGACCAGATAAGATAGCTCTAGAATGGACCTCAGGATCAGTTGGCATGGAAGATGTTTCAATTTCTTCTTGTGAATTGCTTACGGATTTCTCATGTATGTAAACACCTTTGGGTTGAGACTTGAAATGACTATCAACTACAAACTTTGCAAGCATCTCATCCTTGACTGGGTCCACCACATCCTGGAACAAACAATATTTCCTTCCCTATTAGACGTGTCTCATGGAGTTGCAGAATAAATTTATTGGATGAGAAAAATAACCTTAACAACACAAAGGATATCAAAACGTGAAATGATTGGATCTGTCAATTCAACATTCTGTGAGAAAGTCTTTGAGGAATCATATCTGGAGGAAAAAAAAGAGAAAAAAGAATAAACAAAAGAATTTCCATTAGATCCACAAGTAAGCATTTAAAAAAGAAAAGACAACAAAACCGAAGGCAGAAAATACAGCAAGGGGCAACATTGCAAGGTTGGCAGAACAGGATCCCATGTCTAATCAAGCAAATCTTTCATAAAGTACAGAGAAGTGGGATCAATTTATGAATGGCAGGAATGAAATTGGGAAGAGATATAGCTGCCATCTAATCCATCTCTCTCTCTCTCTCTCTCCATGCAATGAGTTGGCATTTGCTAGCATGATCTTCATTAAGCAAGCCTAAATACTAAGCCACAAAGGATATTGCCAACCTTATAATAACTCTTGCCTCATCAAATTAAATTTATTATCTTGCGTATTTTGCATACCTTCCACCAACAGGATTTGCAGCAGCAATAACAGAGCACCGAGCTTGGAGAGAAGTGACAATCCCAGCCTTTGATATGCTAATACTTTGCTGCTCCATTGCTTCATGGATACTTACCCTGATCAAAAGTTAACATTTCCAAAATCAACTAAAAATGTTTTAGAAGACTAAATACATGGGCACAGGCATATGCATTTACTTACCTGTCCTGTTCATTCATCTTGTCAAACTCATCAATAAGGCATATCCCTTTATCGGCAAGTACAAGGGCCCCTCCTTCAAGTGTCCACTCTCGTGTGACTGGGTCCTTGTGTACTGCCGCTGTCAGCCCTACAGCAGAAGCTCCTTTCCCAGTTGTATAAACAGCCCTATGGCCAGTCTTTTCAACATACCTTAGAAGAAAATATCAAACAAATGAAAGCCTGAGAAGTGAACACCATTAAAGAATTAAGGCACTTCAGATATGAACTAGGGTATCTCTTACTTGAGAAACTGAGATTTGGCTGTCCCTGGGTCACCTAGCAGGAGCACATTTATGTCACCTCGCAACCGATGTTTCCCTTCAACATTTTTCTCTTGACCTCCAAACATTGCAAGAGCTATTGCAGTTTTTATGTCGTCGTGGCCATAGATTGATGGAGCAATTGACTTGATAATCTGAGATATAGTTACAAAAACTATTTACTGAAAAATTATATCTGAAGTTTTATAGATCTAATAATTAAGAAAAAATTACTCAAAATAAATATCATTGCAATACAACAATGGCATGGTCTCAAAAGTTATTCACCAAGATACCTTTTCTCCAATATTTGGATCCTTAGCCAACTTCTCAATTTCTTCCTTGTCCTCCTCTGTAAGCTTGTAAGCTGAAAATAGGTCTTGCTTCTTCGTGACATAGTTTGCCTCGACTACTGTGGAAAATACCGGAAATCCATTCTTTGTGTTTAATGACAAGTCAAAATTGTTCGTGTAGATTCCAGTGACCTCCTGAAAATAATAGGCGGAGTAAGGGACCAAATCAAGAAAAAAAAAAATCACAGATCCAATTACTGCAAAAGCATTCCAAATGCAAGATGGGAGCATTACAATCTCTTCCCCAGGGCGAGCACAGTCAATTAGATCGTTCAAAAGTATTACTTCCTTGTATCTTGGAAGTCGACCTGCAGGCACAATTCCCGGGCTCTCTTGGAGAGTAAGTTTCTGATAATTCCTATATATTGTCTGCAGCAAGGAAAGAAAAGACAGACAGGTGTCAAAATTCCTAATTGTGCCTCACCATCATGTACCATATGAGATAATTTACCTGCTCAATGTTGACAGTGAATGGTCCTTTTGATTGGCATTCTGGGCAAGAACCAACCTTAACCTCCGAATATGAGTTTTGGAAAAATGGTCCAAGAATCATGCCACATTTGTTGCAATCATACTTTACCTGCTGCAACTGGGGGAATACTCCAGATCGTCGAGTCACAACTCCCCCTATACGAATCATGGTGTTCAAATGGATCTGCCTGAAAAACAACACAGAAAGGATGTAAGTTGTAGAAGGCATGATGATTATCAGTCATTAGTGGATCTTCCACAGTACCTTATATTGCGTATCTGATCATAAACAGGTAAATTGGTGATGCGGACGTAGATCTTTTGGTGGATTTGCTTGTACTTCGGATGTAATTCAAAGACAACATTTTTAGCAACTTCTTCCATAACCTCAAGGACAGACTGAGGTGCATCAGCCAGCCAGATCGCAATGTTAGGATGGACATAGATGAATTGTTTGTAGTCAATCTCCAGACTACACTTATTAGCTGCAGATCAAAGTTGAGTCAACAAACAAAAACACAAGATTAATGCATCTTGGCAAGTGAGTGGAGGAGTCATATGTAGCAAAGGATGAAAGGTTGCCCAATTCTAGAAGTTTTCAAGTTAAAATCAATCAAACAGATAAATTTACCTAACACAATCTCATTTATCTGCCGCACATAGACAATATCTTCATCATTGTTTGATTTGTGATATGTTAGCAAGAACTCCTTGAATTTCTTGGCAATGAAGCGGCGCACTTCATCCCTAGTAACCCACTCCCTAAGGGTTCCCTGGACGCGATACATCTCAAACTCTCCTTCATCATCGTTATCATCCTGCAAAAAGACACCCCAATGATTAGGGGTTTGGATCCATGATGTAATTTTAAATTTCAAGTGATGATCATATTTGGCAGAACTAAAATGATAGAGGTAACGAGAACTTGATATACATCATAGGGTTCATAATCAGTCTGATCTGTCATAGGCACATCCTCTCTTGAGTGTCCCCGTTGTGATCTACCGGGTGAACTTTGCATTGCATCAGTATCATCAAAACTTCTTGCTGTAGTGGGAGGCCTAAAATCAGCTCTGGACCGTTTTGAAGGCCTGTAGTTATCATCATCTGTATCTGCAAACAAGCCTCTGTTTAGCATTATCATCAATTGTAGTTATCATCAGGATTTGTTCATACTGAAGGGAAAATATGATATATTCAGCTAGGAATCAGAATTAAGAGGTATGAACTGAAGTTCAGAAGGTGAAAGGTTACACAAATTTGATCACATCCTATGTTAGGTGTCAATAGTGTGTGTACAAACATAATCCATCTATGACCAAGAAGTGCAAGATTACAAGGTAATATGAAGAGCATGTAGCTTTTTTTTCTTTTTTTCTTTTACCATATAGGCAAATGACCATGTAATGACCCCTATTAAAAACTAACTACAAATATATCTACCAGCAGGTTTCTTAACTAAGATTAGCATATTACAATCATTGTCTTCCCGGGAACCAAGGATGATCAAATTTCCAATTTTTTTTTTTTTTTTTTGCAACAGTCCACTTGCATACTTAATGATCAGCTAGCCTGGTGACTCATTTTTGCACGTGTCCTGCTTAAGAGCAAATCTTATGTGGCACAACATCTCAATTTTGACATGAAGAATGAAACCCAGTATGCCAAATGCTGAGTTGGCATTTGGCATGAACTCAACATGTCTAAATTTACATGCTCTGTGTTGATGTCAAATGTTGAGTCTACCCAATAAAATAATTTCATTTTTAAAAATAACAGAATAATAGATTTGACATATTGGGGGAGGATATCTATGTGAAATTGACATATGCCAAAAAAAATTTGGCACCCCAAATTTTTGAAGGTTTGGGTGGAGATGCTCTAAGATATCAGTAATGACTGCCTGATTATGAGAGAATACAAAAACACTAGCAACCACCAAAACAGCCTTCCACTTACAGGGTGTTCCGCCTTTTCTGCCTCTTTATATGTGTGTGTGTGTGTGTGGGTAAACTAACTAACATGAAGTAATTTCTTACACAATACCATGTTCTGTACCCAGGAACAAGAAAACGTGATGTATGCTGAACTTATATGTTACTTGAAACAGAAATTTGGGGATGGGGTTTACCTTGGTCGTGGAGTAGTTGGGGAAGCTTGCGCTGAGAGGCGCGGCCATCTCTGGCTTCAAGCTCCAACTCAGCAGCCCTTCGATCAGCCATGATCTGATCCAAATCCCTCTCGTCTTCGAGGGACTCGTCCAGCCCCACTGGTTCATACTGGTCGTGCTCATCCATCCTCCGGTAATCGCTGCATTTTTGCCCCCCCATTCACAATAAATAAAATATCAAACATAGAGATCTAACCTTACAATATGAAGTAAGTAATGTAACGAAGGAAGAGAAAATGGAGAGAGAAAGAGAGATACTTACTCCATGTAATTGTCGTTGAAAAGATCCTCTCCTTCCTCCTCCTCCTCCTCCTCTTCGTCAGCAACTTCGGGGATGATATCGGGATCAACGGCGGCCTCGTCGTCGTCAGAGTAGTTTTCGGAGGTACGGCTGGTGTTAGGTGGGAGTTGATCGGTGTTAAACCCAGCGGAGGTAGGTGAATCGGGGGTCGATGGCGGAAGGTTCCCATGCTCGCCGGATGAGGATGATGAGGAGGAAGCGGAAGCCATCTCTTCCCTTTTTTTCTTTTTCTTTTTTTGGAATTTTTCTTTCAGGTATAAGGATTCTGCAAAACTAGGCAATTAGGGCACACGACGCAACCACCCCCTCCGTTCCTCTCTACTACTATTACTACGCCTCACAACTACTTCTAGTTGTCTTTTGGCGGGAAGTTTTGGCGCCAAATGCTGACACTCGTGGCATGGGCCATTATGTTTTCATCTATTTGCCTCGGCCCAAACTCAACTTGGGCCGGGGGGGTCAATCTCATTTCGTCGGACGGAACATTCCATAACAGCAAACAAAATAATTTGTAAATTACATCATCATTATTAATCCCTCTTATTTTAATAAAATCTCACTTTAATTCTTATAATTTTAAGTATCTAAAAATGTCTTTTTAAATGAGACTTGTTAAAAACCTTAAAACTCTCTTTCTTTTTTGTCTAGATTTTCCTCTAATAAGAAAGAGAGACAGAGGGAGAGAGACAGCAATGGTTTTCCCACTTCTCTCATCTCTCTCTCTCTAATCCTCCTCCTGATTTGGTCTAATATTTGTCTCGCCAATCCGGCCATCAAAACTTTAAGATCATATCTTCTTACAGTCTGGAGATCAATACTGGATAACACGTTTATTTAACACTAGGAGACCACCTCAATCTCAATATTATATCTTGATCAACAAAGACGGAGTCATTAGATTTCAAGTTGAAGGTTGCAGAGTAGTGAATTTTAGAGTATAGTTGAAATTAGGGGTGGGCGCGGGTCGGTTGTGGCCACGAAACCTCCAATCCGCCATCCGCCCGCCATATTGGCGGATTAGAGAAAATCAATCCGCATCCGTCCGCCAATCCGGCGGATGTGGATTGAGCGAATTGGCGGTTTGGCGGATGGATGCAAATCGGTTTGGCGGTTTAAGATTTTATAAATTTTCAACATAATTCAACTTGTGCACTTCCTAAAAAAAATATATATATATATTACAGTCAATGACTTAAAAAACTATTACAATCACTGTATGTCTCATCCAAAAAAAGAAAGTTTGAAACTTTAGAATATCACAATCACTGCATGGCTCATCCACATATTACAATCACAGCATGATTCATCCACATATTACAATCACAGTATGATTCATCCACATAAAATATTACAATATGTGGTTCTCAAAATATAATAACAATTCAAACTACCAAAACCATGAACAGGACAGTAGTAGAGATTGTATATCTCTGTGTTGTTACATCTATATATGTTTTTGAAAACAAAAACCAACCAGCATGTATCATATTTTCTATTTATTATTTTTAGAATTAAATTTAAAAACCAAAAAATATAGATAAATAATACATTTATTTTTTTCAATTCAAAAAATATATTCAAGTTGAAAACTTTTTTTCAACAAAATATTTAAACTCTTTTTCAATTGAAAATACAAACAAAATATTTAAACAAATTAAAAACATAAAATCTTATAAATTATTAGGGTTGCTTGCGGTTCGGCGATTCGGTTGCGACCAAAGGAATCTCAAATCCGCCATCCGTCCGCCAAATTGGCGGATTGGAGAAAATCAATCTGCAACCGTCCGCTCGTCATCGCGCGTCCGTCCAAAATGCGGAGGATCGGTTCGGTTCGGTTCGGTTCGGTCGGTTTCGGCGGATCGGTATATCCGCTGCTCACCCCTAGTTGAAATATACTTTCATTTTGTACTACCTAAAATATAAAAAAGTGTAATTCTTTTTATTTTATTTTATTTTTTATCTATGACTACTTTTTATTTTTTCTATCTATACACACAAATTGTTTAAAAAGTCTCCCAATGCTCTTCAAATATAGCTAGCTTTGAAGAATTTTATTAAAACATTTATTATAATAGCTTACCCATTGGAGTAACTAAAATATAATAAGTATAACTATAATAACTAACAAGTCTCATTTAAAGAGTTCCTTGGAGATACTCGTCGATTTATTAGTAAAGTTCAATTATAACTAAATAAATAAATATAATTTGGACAACAAAAAATTTACAAATTCATTCAGCTTATTTGGTTCTGGTTTCATAAAGCAGTTTTTTAAAATATTTTACTTTTTACTTTTTTATTTTTCATATTTTAATGTTTTCAATTAATTTTTTTAATATCTTAAGATTAGACACACGTAACATAAATACACTTAAAAAGTATAATATTTGTAAAAAAAACTTTAAAAAATATACTAAATACCAAAAAATACAAAAATAAATAAATAAATAAATAAAAATTCAATATGTTTTTCATATTTTTGTATATTTATTAATTTTTAAAAATATTTTTTCACAAATATTTTACTATTTAGACACATCCAAATAAGGTGCATCTAAAAAAGTAAAAAAAAAATTTGCTTAAAATTAAAAAAATATTCACTAAAAACAAAAAAATACAAAACAAAAAAAAATAATTTTCAGAAAACTGAAACCAAACACAATGATTGGTATTTTTTAATAGTTCATCTGTCAAAATCATCATATGCATTTTAAATTTCAAATACAAAACCCAATCATTTTTTGTAGGAATATGAAAAGTAGTTGTATTAAAATAAAGGGTAAGTTAAAAACACACTCCCTGAGATTTACTTAAATTACAAATTACCCCATGTGGTTCTAGAAATTACGTTATGCCCCCAAGGCTTATAATTTCATAACAAATAGGTCATTTTATTAATAAATCATCAAGTTAATCAACAGTTTTTAATAATATTAAAATTTTATTTCAATTAACAATTCAGATAATTTTATTATTGTATAGGTGAACAGTTAAAAATTTCAATTTTTCAATTAGTTCTGTTAAATAAAAAATTCTGACAGGGAGGTATTTGTAATTTTTCAAACTGTAAGGGACAATTTGTATTTTAAGCAAATCTCATAAGGTGTATTTGTAATTTACCCTAAAATAAAACAACGTACAAATGAAAATAAAAACAACAAGACTCTAAGAGCCAAATAAATAACCAAACAACAACAAAATCAATTACGATTAAGGAAAAATCACTAATATTTCCATAGATGTGGTTTAAAAAACTAAATATGCATCAAACCAAGCAAAATCTACATCAACACTCGCCATCGCCATTGATGTCGTCCCCGTCATCGTTATCCAATTCTGAAACCCCAGTCGCCATACTTCGGACACTGCTTGTAACGCCCTCAAAAAATATGATATAAATCAACCATTCATAAGATCTACAAATATGACAGAAATGTTATATTTTCATTCATCAGTGTCCACATTACAAAAGATATTACATGCATTAAACTTTCATAAATGTTCATCTTGAAACTATAGCATGTAACACTAATTGATAACAACAAAATAATTGCCCTATGGGCTTACATCTTCCCAATACTTCGCTTGGTTACAACAAAAAAAGAGTCAAAGTCTCTATTCAAACAAAGCCCTCGGCTTGAATAAGCATTTAACATAAACAAAACAACAAAATGAAGCCTTCAGCTCCTAAACCTCCCAAGCTATGTCCTTGGGGGCGGCATGTCACCTGTACCTGAAAATGGTTTCCCAAGTAAGATGAGTCAAAGCCCAGTAAAGAAATGCTAAAACAATATATAGGATTTAACTAAGATATAAGCATCAGATAAATATACAATATTCTTAACCAACACATATTCTTTCCAAGACCATTCAATATAGATAACCAATACCTCAATTAATTTCGGGTAAATCTATTAACCAAATTCATTATTATCAAAACAACCAAAATGAGACTACAACTCAATAGTTCACAATTCAATAAATTTATCAATCCAACACTTCTATTCTTTGCTATTTTACGGAATCACATCCGAGGGAACGGCCACCCATATGTATATAAGATTTCGGAACTTTCACCCTAGACACTTCGGCTAACTTAATTTTCAATGGAGTCCATTCCCTATCTCCTCTCAAACAATGGAGTACATCCCCTATCTCCTCCCAAACAATGATACATGTACAATGTATTTAAACCCGTTGTCATATACAATGACTAATCAAATCACATATTCAACGGTTTAATCAAACCGTCATATTCAATGACATAATTCAATTGATTAGTTTCAATTCACCTAATCCACATGCAATTTTCTACAACAATCATAGTTATCCTCCACCGATAGCCCAAAACAAATATTTCTAAATAAATATACAATCTATCAAACAGATAATTTATCAAATTTCCATAGGCGAGTGATCTAACAAATCTAACTTCACCATTCATTCATACACCCTTCCAATTTCATATTTCTCATGTCAATTTCATTATTTATTCAAAATAGTCATTTAACATAAATTAGGACAAAACCTTCCCCTTTTCCCAAAATCATCCCCAAGACCCAATCTCACCATTTATTTTCTTATAATACCATAATCAAGCCCTCATCTACATATATGAAGCCAAATATTGGAAACCCCTCTTTCAAAATTTAAACCCAAACCCTAACTTCACCCAAATCTTCCCAAATCCCGCCATTTATACAAAATAAAAAATATTTAGGTTAAAATCCATATTAATGAGTAGAATATCCCTACCTCAAGCTTAGACAAGAGAGAAGAGGGAAAAGCTCAAAAGTCGATGGCGACAAAACCACGTTTTACTCCAATCAAAACGAAGCCCTTAACAAGCTCTGCACTTAATCTCAAAGGAGCAAGGTGAAAAGATCATTCTAAGTGAGTAGATCTAGAGATTTAAGTGAAAAAGTTTGAGTTTTAGAGAGAGAGAGAGAAGAACTCGCGGTTTGAAGGGGAAAATGCGAGGAAAAATAATGAAAAAAAGTGGTTTGAGCCTATTTATAGTAGTAACAAATAGCCCTAAGGTCAAATAAAATAATAAGACCAAAAACCCCCCAAAGGTAGGACCCAATCAGACCTAATAAATCTGGAAAAAAAACACGCAGGGGTCGACCCTTTGGGTAAGGGGGTTGACCCTTTAGGTAGAAAAGGCAATCTGGCACAAGCAAAGGGGTCGACCCTTAGACAAGAGAGGGTTAACCCTATTTTCCAACAACTAACACACAGACATAAGAGGGTCGACCTTTCCCAAACTGGTGTCTACCCTATTTTCCAGCAACACTTCCAGAAACTTCACCAACAGGTAAGTGT